CCAAGTGAACAAAAAGACACCACCATAGCAGTTTAAAATCCAATCAAACATGCCTTGCACTCCACTCTGTCAGACTGTGTTAATAATAAGGAGAATACAGTACCATCATTTCATGGTATCACTATAAGCGAAGCTATAGTTGATTAGGGGCTTCTAATTAAACAATCCAGCCCTGTATAGTTTCTTTCAAACGCACACTACCTTCTGCATTTCCCCAAATTAAAATGCTTCTTATGAGAAAAAAGTAAAACTGAAATCAGCAACAATCAAGAGGAGATGGGATACCAGAGAGTAAGACTCTTCATGTAGGCTTAGAAATGAATGAATTATGTAAATGTAGCAAAAATTGATTTGTTTCACGTATCTCACGCTCCATAAAGACAGAAAAATTCCTGATTTGAGGACAGAAAAGCACAAGTTGTCAACAATCATTTTGGTGTATATTTGGAAAGAAGTAAAAGAACTTCCTATGAATATCTTAAGAACAAGGTAATCTATCAGCAGCTGTACAGGATAATTAACTGATCATACTATAATATATATTTATTTGTTAAGTTTTCACCTCAATAAGTGCACGAGAAAACTACTTGTGACTGAACATCAATGTTAACTGTTTATTATACATTTAAATAAAATTTTGAGCATGGGAGAAATAACAGGGACTTAGCCAAAACTTATTCTGTTAAGAGAAGGTGAAAAAATAAGCGGCAGACATAAAAACAGCCAACAGAAAGCAGCAACGGATCCCATTCCGAGAGCTTTATTCACCTGCAGGTCTGCTGCAGGGCAGCACAGAATTACATTTCTCCGTGGCCTAATTCCACTGTGTTTTGCACTAGTGGAAGGAAGCAGAGAAAAATGCAGAACTGTACCAATTACTATACAGTGGATATAGCGGGGGGGGGGAAAAAAAAGCTTTCACATTAATCCTGAATGCTCTGGCCTTGGTGCAAATAATTTCTCAAGCTTAAAAACATAAATAACATTTTTTGCATTTAATAGACAGTCTACAGCATATGTTTACAAAACTAAATAAGCACCTGTGTTTACATGAGATATACGAAGTTCAGTTTGATTTGCATGTCAGAGATCAGGCTGTGAATCTCTGACGATATTTACAGTTGGATAATTGAAATTAATCCTACCAAAATGACTTTGACAGTTCCGAATTTATGGTCTGAGAAAACAATCCTGGAGCTGTTTGCTGAGCTATTAACATGGCTGGCTATGTATTTTCAGTCTAAGCTACACTGATGAATAAAATCAATTTGCAAGATACAAGCCTATTCCCTTCTTTCTCTCCCTCGCTTCCTGGTCAAGTTGCTTCCTATAAATCATGAAGGAGATGAGATACTCTTGAAGATAGGAAACACACCTGGGTTTTGCTGCTTTGCTTTTTATTTTCAAACCATGCTCGATATGTTTCTCGTCTCTACTATAGGCATTATGGCATCGTTATTTCCATTTCCTCTAAAGGCAGCCAACTCCGCCAGGAGAATACACAGTCCCTCCAACACCCTCAAGCCCTGCTGTACCTTGGATATGGTTACATCTTTGCATGTGCTTGTGTCTTCAGGGCAGACGAGAGGTGCTTGGGTTTGTGTTTGTTAATGTTTTCTGTTTTGCTTTTGTGGAATCAGAACAGACCTTTAAATAAAGGGCATGTAAGCTGTCAAGGAGGAGAACACTTAACCACAAAGCTCCCTCATGTTATCCTCCTGGCAGGAACGTTATTCGTGGCTCAATATATGACAGTTTGCCAACCTTCCCAGAACAAAAAAAGGCTCAAGAAAAATATCTATTAAAGAATTAATTCAGTAATAGTTTCACCTCCTAAGAAAGTAAAAATTAAGCATTTAGAGCGCTCTATTTTCTCATCACTGACAAACAATAATGTAATAAAATGGCTGACAACCTTTTCCTATTTAGAAGGTATTAGGCCCTGTATTCTTCGGATTCCAATAACGGATTTGATGACTGCGAATTGCACTTGGTTTTGGTACTAAAAGGACAAAAAACCTCTCCCCTTTAAGGATACCAAGTTTTGAATCACAGAAAACTGTTGTAGGAATCTTAAAAGTTACCATTACAGATTTCTATAAAAAATAAAAGTATGTTCCTAACATACAAGAGCATCTTTATGAAGTCTGGAAACAAAAAGACAACTACCAGTGCTTACAGAATTGTACATGATTGTATCTTAAGTATGTATTTACATTTCCCTTTTAGAGAGGTGATAGTTGACAACTTGGATATTCATCTCACTTCCCCCTGCTCCCCAATACGATGCTTTCCAGGAATACTTAAATTGAAAGCAGGCATACATCCAGGTATACATTAGGGATGAAAGAAAACTCTCGTTATAAAATGTTGATTCCTCATTCATAGAAACAATTAATCACAGAGTAACAGTGGTCACTGATCATCACCCTATTGTAAGTATGTTATCTTGTGCTCTGGCCCCTGCTCAGAGACAGCTTTGTGAGAGCAGGCAGAATTCTAAAGAAGATGAGGAGATGAGATATTCTGGGAGGATTTCTTTCCCCAAGCACTGCAAACCTCTGTAGCAAGCCTGCTCCACCCTCCTGCTTTGTTGCACACACTCAGAACATAAAAAGCATCTGAAGGAGGTTACAGACTGACATGGTACATTGAAGGCACAGCTGCCTTCCTTTTATCGCAGGACTCCGGGCACATAAATTTACTGGGGGCACTCTGGACAACACCTAGGATTTGTTTTGCCAAACTCATCCAATTTGCAGGCAATTAGTACTGCAAGCCAAAATAAATTCCAAGTTCCTCTGCATAGCATTTCTGTACACAAGTATCAATACATCAACAATCCAAACTGAAAAAGACCAGGTTGCTTAACGAGCAAGTAACTCTCTTCTCACCACCTCCATCCCCCTCAGTAAATAAATACACGGATTGCCATATATTCTGTTTGAGCTTATTTTTCACTTGAATTCAGCCAACTTAGGCATAAGGTTCATTGGCAGCTGACTGTTCTGCAGAAATACGTCTTCAGTCAGACTGTCTCAAGCTTGAAATCATCCCATCACAATGGACCCTGCTCCCTTTAGCCACAGACAGCTTGGCACAACTTAAGGTCTCAATAATTATAAGCTGATATATGAACCTTCCACATCATGGCTGCACACCTTACTCTCTTATTTTCAAATGCGAAATACTCTTCAAATACACTGGAGGTAGAAATGAGAGTTGTTAATGAGCGTGAGTGGGAGGCCTGGGTTGGCAATGAAGATTTGCTTTGATACCTCTGACTACAAAAGCTTCCTTGGCAGAAAAGATACTTGAGAAGGTCTGAAGTAAAACCTCCCTTATGCAAATTCAAAACCATTTCGACATAGTACTAAGAATACTCTTAGTACTATTTCTTAAAAGTCATGCACATGCCATAAAGGATAACTGAAGTATCAGAATGCTACAGCAGGTTAAGAAAAGAGGCAATGAACGAGGCAACAGATTCCAGGCATTTTCACACCCGAGAAGAACACTGACCATTAATTTCTGTAACTGATAGCGAGGGTGGAAGCACCATCTGTTGCCAGAACTGATTGGAGGTTTCTGCTGTAAATCCCACTTCCTTGAACTTTGCCAGTCTTTTCAGCTATGGCTTTATAAAACTTGCGTGTTTGTTCTGAGCTTGTCTAAGTTTCTGCTCCCAGCTCAGTCAAAATAACTCACCTGCTTTTAAAACTAAGCAAATGGTGAAAGGATACATATGTTGGTAATGCCGTCAAGAAGAAAAGAATTTTTTTATTTAAAACTTTCCCAATTCATGACTTGAAGAGAAGACTGAAAAACTGGTAACAGCAGAGTTCTAATTCGTTCTCAAAAAAACTCGACTACATTAGAAAATTCTCAACAATCTCAACTCATTTGTGGCCAGTTGGCCAGTACAGTGGCACTTCACTTACAACAATCTGAAGCAGTTTCCCAAGCACGACCCCAGTAGGTCTCTAAGTGTCTGCTGCAGGGCTCTCTGCGCTTGGAGTAGACACGGAGGGATCTAAGCAAAATAAGGGAGAAGCAAGTCTCCCTTGCCTTCTCAGTGAAGCTTCTTCCCCTGCTTTGGGCAACAAGCTTGAAAGAATATTTTGCCTTATCCAAAAGCAAAGAGAAAGAGAAAATGACAAATCCATCGGGAGATGATCGTAACAAACCAGGGAAAACACAAACAGACTGAAGAATTCTGCAGACAGGCAACGTTCAGTTGTTGAAAATCAGACTTAACACAGCAGAGGGATTTCAGTAATGCTATTTCTAAGTTATCCACGAGTCTAGAAGCATCAGCTCCAAACAATATCCCATTCCATTCCTTTAAGGGGTACATTATTCAAAATACATCACCTCAAATACAACTGAAGATAGATGAGGAACTAATGATTAATTGGTAAGCAAAAATGTACTTGTATTTCTCTAAGTACCTTCATAAAATGCATTTGCCAGAGCAATAAAGAAAATGAAGAGGTATAGTTATTTATTAATCAGGAGTCACCTTGCCAAAACTCAAATAATGAATAAAATAAATTTCCACTCATCCAACTTACGAATGTACAGCACACTTCAATTTTAAGTCAGAAATATGAAATGGAAAGCTCGTTTGTATTTTTGTTCTGTTACTTATTTACTTTATGTACTGAAGTTTCATAAAACCATGACCTTAAAAGCAAGCAAACAAAAACAAATAACAGCAATAAAAATGCCTGCAGAATAGCAGATGCCAAATAAAAGGAAACAGCCTTTGTGGCAGTATCTTAATTGAAGTCCTCAGCTAATTTGGACAGCCTTCTCTCATAAATGTCATCAAGGTTGTTTTTCTTGCACCACTCCCTTTAATCTACTCATGTTTCTAAAGGGAAGTCCACAAGTTGGTGTTAAATGTCTCTCTCTCTCTGACTGGGCTGAAGCCTAAAACACTGATTATTAATTACAGCTATCAACCAGATAATAAAGGATCTCCAGTAATTCCATACCTGTTGACGTCCCATATTTTACTTGTGTTGTCCTTAGAGGCAGAAGCCACAAAATCACCACAGGAATGCCACGAGCAGTCCCACACAGCTTGGGCATGTCCTTTGAAAGTCAGAACGCATCCCCCTTTTGAGAGGTCCCATATCCGTACTGTTGCATCCCCACTTGAAGTGACCAGCTGAGTGCCACTGTTAGAAGGAAAAAGAAAGACTAGTTAAGTAAACAACAGTAGATTTTACATTAAAACATTCGTATTTTCTGATGCATCACAGACTAAGTGGTCACATACTAAATATCAAGAAAGAAGAAAAGACATGAAATAATTATTTCCCATGAGAAAGCAAATACGGGTTCCAGAAATGACATTCCTACTTTCAGCAGCCTATTTATGAGCTTATCGATAACATCACTGGAGCCCAGGAAATCACTTTCAAAGTAGAATAAAATAGCTTCAGGGAAGAATATTTTTTTTTAATTTCTGAAATCCATACCACTTTCTATATATGAATTATCATTTAATTGTAACATTTTTGTCTTCTGACTCACTGCAGATAATCTCAGGCGCTCGCTATCTATTGACTTCAGATATGAGTATAGTTCCAATGCATTTAAGCACGGACACAGCATGTCAGACTCAGAGCTCACCTGGTTCAGCAGCTTACATTCTATCACAAAAGGAGAGGATTCTTAATGGGAAAATGGTAAGAATGAACGTGTAGAGTAGTATAATACCCCCTTAAAGTCCCTGTCTCAGGATTTCTTTGAGACAGATACTGTATAGTGTGCTTAACAACTTGCCCATATGCTGCTTTTCTCATGACCACCTATTTTTGGACATACACACCTCCAGCACCCACAATCTCTTGCATCCCAAAACGTAATTTGGCATTTCTAATTATTCTCCTGTCCTAAATACCTTCATCTGATGCTTCTAATTCTAGTGGAATCTATTACAATGCAAAGTAAATGCTGACTACACATGAACCCTCTTCCAAGCCGATAATGATACTACAGGTTCCCTACCACATTATTTTACCAGCCAAGCTGGAGACTCAGCCTGTGGACTCATTCCTTACACTGAAGTCATCCCATATCTTTGACCATATCTTTTCTGATGAAAAAAGCACTGAAGAAACAGGAACCCAGTGGAGGTACCCAGCAGCACAGCAGTGCTTTCAGTTTCCTTCCTTGTTCTGTTCATTCCATTAGTGTTTTCAGTACCACTGCACAGAAATTCCCAGAAAAGATTCCTTTCCTGGGTACCAATAACTAGTTTAGAGAAATTACTATTTATTTTCTTCACGTGCATTACTTCACATTCATCTGCATGGAATTTCATTTGCCACTTCATAGTCAACGTTTCCAAACCTAATTCTTCTCCTGCACTTCTTCACAAGGATCCTTCATTTTTACTGCCCTCATTATTCTGATCAGCAAACTTTTCCACCTTTTTCTCTTCCAGTGTCCAAGATCATCCTAATAACTTCAGTCCCAGCACAGATCCCTGAGGGACACAGGTAATTTCTCCATTCAGAACGTGACATTTCATTCCCATTCTTTCACCAGTTTTTAAGATCGCAAGAGATTTTTCCTTTTTTATTCATGGCAGTTATGCTTTTTTGAGAGTTTCTCTTGAATGACCTTAAGAATCTACTGAAAACCCAGGCAGACTGAATTGATGAGATCACCCTCGTTCAGTGAGCCCTGCAGAGAACTTTCATAGATTTGAGACTATTTCCTAAATTGTGTTGAAATTTCCCAGTGCTTCAGTATAACAAAGGCATTGAGCTATCCTGAAACGTTGCCCTTAGTATCATTTCTACCAGTCCTCCCAGTATAAAGGTTAGATGGACTGATATACATTCATCCCACGGCCTTTTAAAGCATTGAAAAAGTTAATGCACCTTGAGTGATATAGGTAATACTGGAGGTTCCCTATTTTATTTATGGAAAAGTTAGTTAAAGGCCAGAAATCCATCAACCTTGGGTATTCAGACTAATTTCTCTGCAGTTATCTCACCATCATCAATACAAAGATTTTGACAAAGCGTATAGGCTTAAAGCCTGAGTGAGGGCTGCAGGAGGAGACCCTGACTTTGTCAAGGAATAAATGTGTTTTCATTAATGGAGCACTCGTCATTTTAATAACTCAAGCTACATCTCACTTGTAGAGACATAAAATTAGCAAAATGACAAATTATTGCACCCTTTATACATTTAGGAAATCAGAACTATTTTAAAACAAATTCTGAAGCAGGTATAAAGTGGGACTGATGAAATCTATAATTGATTCAGAGGGTAGCAGGCACTGCCACTGTTGTGAATCACAAAAGAAGATTTATTGCTTATGCATTTTTTAATATATAATCCCCAAAATACCACATGAAGAACTCGTTCCTTGGGCTGAATTTTAAGAAGATACCGTCCGGGCAGTGATGAAAATCTTTCAGGAAACAGATATGAGCAGGAAGGTAGTTCAAATGGATTCAATTTGGCAATCTGTGGCAGGGGAAGGAGTTACAAATGAGGTTTAGCACTCCTTGCAGATCAAAGGAGAGCAAAGCAGAGACACAGAAACAAAAGCACAGCCTGTGGAGGAGAAGTTTGGAGGAACAGACCGATAGCAGCTAAGGGGCAGACGTGCTCAGAAGCAGAGGGACCCCGGCAGCCCAGCCACTGCAGCACGAGTTCCTCAGCATCCCCCTCTAAACTGCACCATCACCCTGTACACACGATACAAGTTTATCTGAAGTAAAACATGACCATTAGGAAAAGGAGATTTTTTTAATGATTTAGCATGGCGGTCTCTATTATCTACACAATCCTCTACTGAAGGACTGATTTGAAAACAGTTTTTTTTAATAGAATAACATGTGGAAATGCAACACTATATGCTCAGCCTTAAATTTACCAGCAGCTGTATACACACCTCTATTTGAATTTAAAATTCATCACTAACAGAGAAAGCTTGAATTAATTCTGTGGAGCGTGTATATATATATATGTGTGTATATATATATATATATATGAGAGGACAGTAAACAGTTTTAATTCTTCTTTACCAAACAAATCAAGGAGACAGACAACATATCAGGAGAGAATACCCTTTTTGGTCAGCTCACAACGGAGGGTCTATGACATCTGTAATCCCTGAACTGTTTCTATGGATGGGATCTTTTTTCCTAGTATTATAGGCACAGTTCTACTTCCCAAGGGAATTTTTCACGGATTCCCAATTGATGCCATAAGCCCACTGCTCCAGAAAGTTATTGTAGGATACTTCAGGGGACTGATTACCTTCATGAAATACCAGAAAAACACAGGCAATTAGTACGCTGATGGTGCAGCCCTACAGAAAGACCAGCACATCAGCAGAAGTGCCTCACTCCTACGCTCTGGGATAATGGGCTCTGCAGGCAGAGCTGAACCTTGAGCCGCTCCAGCAGGGTTACTGAGGCTCCCTCTGAAGACGGTGGAGCCAGCAGGCTCTTCTGCTTCCCTACATCAGCTGCCAAGCAGCACCACAGGCCCGTCCTTCACAATATACACAGACTGTCTTCTATCAGCCAAAATAACCAACATCCAGCTGCCTGAAACCTTTCTCTTCCCACCCAGAGTGACAGCTTTTCATAACCATTGAGAATACGTGGTCTGCTTTATCCCAAACCCCAGTGCACAAAGGTTACATTTGCTTCCTCTACCGTCTGCTTGGTAAATAACAGCAAGGTAGACTTCACTGCCCACCGTATCTCATCCTCAGGATCAATCTCAGGCCTATGAGCTTCAGCAGATGCCAGGGACAGGTACTGCGGATAACCATTTTATTACTATATTCTACGCTGCATTAAGAGAACACAGCACATCTGTGGTGCCAGCATTTGTATGTATTATTCATGTAGTGGTGTGGACACACCTGGAGCTCTGCAGACAAAGTAAAATGCAGTTCCTTTCTTGAGACAGTTCCAGCCTAAATCAAAAGGAGGTGAGCAAAGCCTTATACGCAGTGCAGGCAAACACTGCTTCTCAAAACAACACGCTAAGACAGCACTTGTGTTCAAGTTGTGTCCTAGAAGAGCTGCAGCAGCAGGTAGCCTCTGACTGGAACTCAACAGCACATCAACATCAGCAGCTCATCAGATAATTTTGAACATGCCATCATCTAAAGCACTATGAAATTAATGGCCTTTCACCATGGCAATTGAAAAACATTTTGAAATCAATCTTAAGCAACTGGAGAAATTGCATTTCTTATTTACTTCTATTTGTGCACTTATTCTAAAGCAAAACTCTAAAAGCCACTGGACTATTTACAGTATCAACACAGGTAGTCCCTAAACACAGCAAAACCCAAGGCCAGAACTGTAAACAGTGTTAAAAATGACTTTAATTTTGCTGACATTACATGCTAAGCTAGAGAAGAAAGAAGCATCTAGTGCACAGCTGCTTCCTTTAAACTCTTACTAGAAAAAAATAAGTTGGTCCATGAAAACCAGAACTAATGAAGCCTGAATATCTACAGAAATGCATTTTGCCTCTTAGCACCACCACCTTAGCTGCTGATTAAATATAAATACTGGGAATTGATTGATCTTTTAGACCTCAAGCTTTGTCAGAATTTAGCCTGCAGGTTAGACATTTCTAGAGAGCATGGGTGATTGTGTCAGGAACTGGTGCAGAAGATGCATGTACAAAGAATAGGGGGCACGTCCTTGTAAGCTGCATTTTCCTTGGAAACAAGGCTAAAAACTGTGAGGCAGATAGTTACATGAGGAAAGCACAGACCTACCACTGACTATCCCAAGAAAGCAGTATCTCACTTTTCCATCTGATACTAAACTCAACACAAGGGATGCAAATGCCAGGCATGAGTTCAAGCTGCAGGCATTATTTCCCTCTTTTGTCCTACTACACTGGTCTCTCAAGGGCTTGTAACCAAGGAGAGATGGTGAAATCTGGATGAATTTTAAAAAGTTGAGGTCAACAGATTATTGAGAAGATTCCCATAAAAAAAATACAGGTGATTTTTTCCACACTAGGTGAGAGACCTGCCTGGACAGGACTCTGTGGCTAAAACTTTCTGTGGGTACAAAGGAAGAAAGCACAAAGCCCTAAAAGAGAAATATATCAGAAGTCACATGGAAACAGCATCTGGCTCAGAAAGTCTTGATATGAGAGAGTCCAAAGAGGG